GCCAACCGCGGGGCGCGCGGCGGCGGGGGAAGTTAGCAAGTTTGGGCTGGCGGGTTGGGGGGGGAGGGGGGAAGCGCTTTTTTTGGGGGGGGGTGTATCTTTTCCTGCCGGCGCCTTGTTTGGATGCAGATGTTATGGGATTTTTTTTTTCCTCAGCAGCTAAAGACAGGAGGTCGCATTAACTTATAATACGGAGACACATAAAAACGCGATTAGGACTGCTAAACAGAACACAGTAGGCTGCTAGTTAAGACAATGAGATTTCCAGGAAGTGATGCATAAATTCTTCAAAAATGACACATTTTTCACGTTTCATTCCAATTAAATTACTGAGGCAGCTAACACAGCGCTGAGCGCACGATGCATTTGGGTGAAATGAAGGCTTTCTGGGAGAGCTTTTTTTTTTTGTTTTTGGTGAGTCTATCTAGATGCGCGTGTTTTATGAAATGCAGTTAATATTAAGCTGCTATTAAGGAAAAATGCCAGAGACTTTCGCTCCTCGCCTATTTTTTTCTTCTTCTTTTTTTTTTTCTTTTTTTCTCGTGGGGGGGCTGGGTCCGGGCCTTTTTTTTTTTTTTTTTTTTGCCTGTTTTATTGCCCTGCCGGGGAGCGAAGCTTTCCTTACGGGCAGATGTGTAACGCAATCCAAAAATAACAGCGCTGAAGGTCCCACCGCCCTCCCCGAGGGTGAGGTGGAGGGAATATCATCACCCCCATCTTTTTATACCTATATATATATGTGTACATATCGCGGGGGTGCGGGGGTCTCCCCGGCTGCCGGTGCAGCGGGATCGGGCCCCGGGGCCGGTTTGGGGCAGACAGGGAGGGTTTTGGGGGGTACCGAGGTTTGGGGCAGGGGGAAGAAACCTGGCTGCCTGCCCTCGGGGTTGGGTGGCTGCAAAGACTCATCACGGGGATAATCAAGCCGCGAACTGGCCCCGGTAATGAAATCGCATTTGATTTTTTTTTTTTTTCAAAGCAGAAGGCATCGCGCACGCCGCGCTGAGGCGGGTGATCCGCAAAGCAATACAAATCAGAAATGAGATTTTTGAAGTCCTAATGAACCTGATTGCATGAACATTTATAATCCCCCATGGCTTTAAATGAAATCAGATATAATCAGGAGCTATGGGGAAAGGGAGTGTTTACAGGCAGAGATTGGGAAGTGCTGCTGTATTAGTAAAGATGCCGTTCCTTCTATTGATGTCGAAAATGATGGATAATGTGAGAATGGCAAATATACTATTTGTCTAATGGCTCTGCAATTAAATTCCCCTGTAAATGACCCATGCCTCATTTCATCCTAATCTATGGAATTTTGATTGAATTCGTCAGCTCTAATTGAAAAATACTGCACTTTAATGTCTGCAGTGCAGTTTCAGGACCACGGTGGTTTTAATGAGACGGTGCCCCTCTGACCTGGGAATATTTTAGACTTTTATTCGGGATTTTAAACCGGTAGATTTCTCAACTATATCCCATGTAAAAGCATCTGCGTGCGTGCGTACGTGTGTGTGTGTGCGTGTGGTTTTACACCGCTAGAGAGAATCTCTCCGTACCAATGCGTTTTATTAAGGTCCTCTTTAGTGCTCTTAAAATATTTTGACTCTGATTATTTGAAAATATTAAAAAGGGAAAAAAAATAATTCCCTTCACGAACTGAACGAATTTCAGGACAGGAACCACGGTTACCTAACCCAGATCTCTCTTTTTCTTCCCCTCTCTTTCGCTCTCTCTCTTTTTTTTTAGCCTGTCCTTATCCAAGGCGTTATTTTTTTTTCCTTTTTACCCTCCTATTTTTAAATTGAAAATCCCAAGGAGGGGATCCGTTGACGATGAGCGAGTTCAAGTTTATTAAAGACCGTGGGAAAAAAAAAAACACATACACACACACACACACACGCCCGCGAAATTGAAAAAGAAAAAAAAAAGGAAAAGGAAAAGGAAAAGGAAAAGGAAAAGGAAAAGGAAAAGGAAAAGGAAAAGGAAAAGGAAAAGAAAAAAAGAAAGACAAAAATAACTAAAAGAAAAACAGCCTATCTCCCGTGCACGGGGTGGAAGTTGTGCAGGAAGGAGGCGCCTACAGAAAACCCCCCCCCCCCAAAAAAAATTGCTGAGGTCGAACCGGGGGAGATGCTCTCCGTGCAAACCGGGGCAGCATCGCAGCAGAAACCAGCTCCTTGCCGGCGCGTATTTACTGCACTGAAACGAGCTCCAACGGGAACATGCAAAGGAGCTAATGGGATTAAGCGACGAAAGGTTTTTTTGGGAGGGAGGGTGCGGCTGTTTTGTTTTCCCCCCCCCCCCCCGCACACCCGGG